GATGTGACAGGACCCTGGGTCCCAGGCTGGAACGGACGTGCAGAGCTGCGCCCCTCAGAGTACAGTGCGCGCTGATTCTGAGAACCCCCGTCTTCCCGCTGTGCACGCACATGTACATGCATGTGCCCACGGCTATGCAGCTGCTTGGCTTTCACCTCTGGTGCACAGAGCCGCCGCCACCCACCCGCTGCTTATCTGCCTTGGATCCGGCTCATCAGAGAGAGGGCTCCTTGGTCTGCACTCCCCACGCTCTCTCCAGACCCAACAAGTCACACACCTGCAAGGGGGAGGGGGTGTCTCAGCCACAGGCATGAGGTCACTGAGGGACAGCTGGCAGTAGCGCCCCCAAAGGGATCCTGAAGGAACAGAGTGTCAGGTTGGACACCACGGCGCCCTTGCCCTTCCTGCGTTCCTCACAGCGGTGCAAGTCTGACCTCCCCTCATAGGGAGTAGTTGTTTGTTTTAATAAAAATGTAAGCGACTTTTGCTTCCAAGCGGTTTAACATACAAGGATGTATTCTTCGGAAACCTGGCACAGTAGCGTCCTGTGCCACAGAGTCACATCCTACGTAAGAGAGTCAGGGTACAGCACCATTTCATACCCTAGAGTACCTGGTACAGCAGCACCCTCTGTTCTAGATGATCTGTGTAATAACATCCTCTGTCAGAGGACCTGCTGCAGGAACATCCCCTGGAGTACCTGGTGGAATCACATCTTATGTCATGGAATGCCCAGAACAGTAGCATCTTGCCTGTGTAATGGGGGACCTAGTACAGTAATATCCTGTGCCATGAAGTGCCTGGTACAATGATATTGTATGTACCGCACAACCTATATCATCTTGTACCTGGCACAGTTATCATCCTTTGTCATGGAGTACCTGGGACAGCACATGCTATATAATCTAGTACCCCATACCGTAGCAACCTGTGCCCTAAAGTACCTGGTACATTAGCATCCTATGAAGTGGGATACCTGAAAGAGTAGCGTCCTGTGTAATTTAGTACCTGGTACAGCACATCCTATGTAATAAAGTACGTGATACAGTAACATCGTGTGCCTTAGTCACATCTTATCTAATGGCGAACCTAGTGCAGCAAGCACATCCTACCTAAATAGCACCCATCACAGTAAATCCTATGCCATAGAATACCTGGCACTTCCTGTGTAACTGGTGCTACCATTGTGACCAGTAACTGTACTAGTATAGTAACATCGAATCCCATAGAGTACTCAGGACAGTACCATCCTAGTAACGGAGTACCTGGTTCAGCATATCCTATGTAATGGAGTACACAGCACAGTAATAGCCTATGCTGTCGAGTATCTGGTACAGCAGCATCTTATGCTATAGAATACCTAGTACAGTAACATACTATGTAATAGAGCACCTCATACAGCTCATTCTATGCCATAGAGTACCTGGTATAGTAGTGACACAGCCTGTGTAACAGAGTGCCTAGCACAGTATTAATGCAGCCTTTATAAAAGAGTACCCGATACGGTAGTAGTATCTTATGCCATAGAGTACCCAGTACAGTAGTTATGTATCCTGTGAAACGGTACCCGGTACAGTAGTAGTGCCCTATGCAAGAGCAGTAGTAATATATCCTATGTAACCGAGTGCCTGGTACAGCAATAATACTCTGTGTAATATGAGTCCTATACAAGAGAGTACTTGCTACCTCAGTATCCACCCTATGCTATAGCATACCTAGTACAGCAGTATCCTATGTAATAGAGCACTTGTACAGCTCATCCTATGCCATAGAGTCCCCAGTACAGTAGTAATATCCTATACAAGAGAGTACTTGCTACCTCAGTGTCTGCCCTATGCTATAGTGTACCTAGTACAGCAGTATTCTATGTAATAGAGCACTCGTGCAGCTCATCCTATGCCATAGAGTCCCCAGTACAGTAGTAATACAGCCTGTGTAACAGAGTGTCCGGTACAGTAGAATATCCTGTGCAAGAGAGTACCTGGTACAGTAGTAACATAACCTATGTAACAGAACCCGATATAGTAGCAATGTGAGAGTACTCGGTGCAGAAGTAACGTAGCCTGTGTAACAGTACCCAGCAGAGCAGTAATATCCTATGCAAGAGAGTACTTGCTACATCAGTACCTATCCTATGCTATTGTATGCCTAGTACAGCAGCGTCCTATGTAATAGAGCACCTCATACAGCTCATCCTATGCCATTGAGTACCCAGTACAATAACACCGTCTGTAGTAGAGTACTTGGCATAGCTCACCCGTAGTGCAGCATCTTAAGCTGTAGAGTAACAACCTCCCAACAGTGGCTGAGTGTGCATGAGTCAGGCAGCATTTGTTGGTGGGTAAAACTGGATGAGGAAAAATCCACCACCATCGGCTTTGAAGTGTCTGTGGCAAAAGTCAATGTCATGTATTGTCACATCAAGAGTTGACAAGCTGACACAGGACTGCTCCCCCACCACCAGTGCTTCCTGAAGTGTGGCCCTGCTGGCCTTTGTGTTCACAGTGAGGGACCAGGGCCCTGCGGGAGAGGGGAGCCCTCACCGCTTCCCTTATGAAAACAGATGCTTTTACTCGGGAACTCTAGGTGGAATCCAGTCTTGCCCCAAGATTCGGGAAGCTTCATTTATCTGAAATACGGAAGTGGAAGGAAGAGCTCGCATTTTCCCTCATGTCTGGGGGTTTGTTACAAGTAGGACGGTGTGGGCTTGTACCAGGAATTCAGAGAGCCCAAGTACAGTCTTGTAGTCAGAACCCAGACTCCAGGGGACAGCATGCTCCGGGGGTCACTGAGAGCAGCGGGGGAGTGATCAGGTGGTCCATTCCAGAGCTACCAGGGTGCGTTCATGATTAGATTGAGGGCCTCGCCTATCTTTCAAAATCGGGATATCTTTGTAGGGAGAAAACAGGATACATTTAGATTCATATGTAGAGCTGAGATGGGCTCTTGGAGATTTTAGCTTCTCTGTAACAAGCAAGGGCAGGGGAGCCACGAGAACAGTAAGCAAACATGCTCACACTTTGCCAGGCTGGTGCCACATGGGGGCAGCCTTACTGGGTGCCTGCGGACGCCTAGCATCAGACCCTAGTAGCTGTGCTCTCAGCTCCACCCTCTGGGAGGGAGGGGAGCTCAATGCCAACACACACGTCGTTGTGGCACTGTGTTAGGAAGAGAAGGTCAGGTTTCCATTTGCTGGCAGGAATACCACCACCACCAAAACCTCCCTGACTTTTTTCTTGATTAAGCAGGAGAACGAACACCGTATTTACCCCTCATTGTTGGCACAAACCATTATTTCAGGGAGAACCATTAGCTATTTAAAAGTTGGTACATAAATTAAAGAGGAGCTAAGTGGGTTTGTGATGGTTGCCATTAGTAGCATTTTAGATTATACAGGCAATTATTGTGCTCATTATCCTAGAACAGCCCCTTTGCAAAACTATTCTGGTTGTCTTAGACATTATGCACAAATTTTCCCATGGAGATTAACATTTCCAGTAGCATATTTAATTTTGTTACCACAGTTGCTTCAAACACAATAAATATTATGACAAGTAGAAGAAAATTTGCTTTATGACTGTAGGAAATGACGATGAATGTTGAATATTCCTTTGTAGAATACTTAATTTACCTTTTCTTATACCATCCTAATTGTGTTATGTGCTTGCTAATAGACTCTCTCAGGGAAGGCCTGGCAAGCTCCGCAGAAGGTGTGTGGCCTGGCCGCGGGGGGAGAAGATATTTTAAGAAAGAAAGATCCCCATAAACACTAAAATAGCCCCCTTCCTCTCAGAGTCGGTGATTTTAAAGGTCACCGCTGTCCAGAGGGCTCACCTTGTGTCTTGGACAAACTGGAGGGCCTTTCCCAGAGGATGTGTCAACGCAGGAACTGAGATGGGCTGTTGTATTTCTCGAAGGTACACGTCGGAGTGCTTCCCGCTGTGTTTGACTAGCATGAGCAGGAACCAGGAAGATGTGGGCACGCCGTGTGGACACAGCTGTGTTCCTGGGAGGGTTTCTTAGCCAAGAAGGTGGCCTGGAAAATGCCAGGAACGAGCGTGCATTCCTGTCCCACCTCTTACGTCTTTCTTCACAGTGCCAGGGCGCTGCTCGGGGCCTTCCGTGTAGCTGTCGTCTCCAAGCCGCCACCTCCAACCACCCTCACTTGTGTCTGTGAGGGTTGGGGGGTGCGGTGGCCCCGACAGTCCCCCTCCGCGTGTCCTGCCACTGCAGGTTCTGGAGGGTCCGGCTGTGGGAAAACAGAAGGCACTGGTTATGTCTTTGCAAGACGACAGCGGTTCTTTAGTTTATGACAAAAAAGACCAGCTCTGGAAGGGCAGATTAAATCACTCCCTCACTTGTTAATGGGATTTGGATGGAGAGAGTAAAATGTGCGCTTGGCCTCACTGAGAGCGGGCGGCTGGGGGCGGAGGTAATTGAGTCTCTTTCCCTGACTGCCTGAGTAATGACTTCATCTGGCCCTCCTCGCCTTTGTCACAGAGAGGAGCTGGGCTGTGACACAGCCTCCACTTCTCTAGCGTAATTTTTCTTCATTTTCATCCAAAAACCTATTTTTCTCAATAATTCAAGCATAAACTGGAGTGGTTGAAGGAGTAGAAATTGCAAGCTGTTTGTCCTCGTTGTGGACCTGGCTGCGGCCTGCTGAGTCAGTCCATGGCAGCGGGGTACCCTGGGGAGAGGCTGTGGGCCTGGGTGGTCACTGTGAGGGCCCTGGGTCGAAGTGGGCAGTGAGGACCCTACCTGGCTGGCTTGGCTGCTGTGCCCATTGAGCCCTTGGGAGTGTCTCCCACCCGCCTCAAGAGCAGCACGCTCACTGCACACATGCTGGCCGCATGCTTTGTCTGCTGGCCCCCTTGGCCCCTCCCCGGAGTCAGGACTCGCTCCAGGAGGTGGCCGCTATGGGGCTGGTGCTTCTGGAGCCAGGGTGGTGATGGGAGGTGGGCTCTGTGCCGCCCATGATGTGGCCTCTCTCTCCCCAGGTCGGTCTGTTGGACCTCGAGCTCAACCAGCTGACCAAGGCACTCTTCCTGGCCCTGGTGGCCCTCTCGGCTGTGATGGTGACCCTGCAGGGCTTCGTGGGCCCTTGGTACCGCAACCTCTTCCGGTTCCTCCTCCTGTTTTCCTACATCATTCCCATCAGGTACGCTGGAGGGCTGTGGGGAGCCATTTCGGAGTGTGGAGGGGAGCGGTCCAGACACCGAACCAGAAAATCCCTGTGGCACATGTTGCTAGAGTGGCCCAGAGGGCTGACACTTCTCCTGCACAGTGTGTGAGCATGTAACCTTCCGTGGCAGCACGATCTTCTCGATCAAATGAGAAGAGGAGTCCTCTCCTCACTGCGGGGGACTTTTTCACATCTGCTGCCCTTGCACCTGTCTTTGAGCATCAACATCTTAGTTACCTGTTCTTAAAGAAGGGGTCTCATGTACCTGTCAGGTAACAGCACATGGTGAGAAAGGTGGGCTCTTACTAATGCCTCGTTTTCAAAACAGAAGCCCAGTTAACTGGCAGTGGAGCTGGAAATAGTTGACGCCGTATGTCTGCTTCCTTTGGAGGCTGTGCCACCTACAGCGTAACATCTGTAAGTCTGTTCATCGTGAGTGTGAGCAGTTAGAGCCTGATGACCCTGGGAGCTGAAGGCAGCCAGCCAGGGACTCTCAAACCTTTCCTCCACGGGTGCCCACCCCCACCCCCATGCCCGGTCACTGTTCATGGGCACGCATCCTCACAGTGCTCACTTGGTGTCCATGCCACACACGCAGTCCACCCCTGGGACCCCGGCTGCTGACACGTACTGTGTTCAGGCTCTGCCCTCAGGATTGTTTCTTTTTCCTGAAATAGCCCAATGGGATTCAGCGCCTAGAATGATTAACAACTAGCGGATCAGGCTTATTATTTTGAGCAGTGTAGATACAAAGTGATTAATTGACTGTATAATTCCAAGACCAGTTCTTAGGGAGTTTCATAACTCCCTTTGAACAACATAAATATCATTTACATTGGAAGAGCCTCTGTGATGTGGTTTGCACTGAGACAAGTGTCATTAGTTCTTGAGAATTTGCCATTCCTGCTGTTTGATTTGCACCCAGTCTTCTCTCCTGCCTCTGGTGACCTGAAGCTGCTGGCCGTGCAGGGCTGTTTCCCACCCGAGTCAGTGCAAGCAGGGAGGGGGATGGACCTCTAGCCAAGGGCTGGTGTCTGGACAGATTCAAGGGACTCTTCCCAGTTGAGCCATGGCCATCCCAGCAGACCCAGGATGACCAGGATCTGAGAAGTGTGGGACACCACAGGGGGGTGTCCCTGTGGATCAGCACCCTTCCAAAGATGTGATGTTCATGGCAAGCAGGGCAGTCCGCCTGTTGCCTAGCAACTGTGGTCTCCGGACTCGTTCAGGAAGATGCAAGGCTGTTTCTTTCAGAGATGGCCGCCCTCCAGGCTGCCTTGACCCTGTGCCGCTCTCCAGAGTGCTGGCCCTCACCCAGCCTCATATAGGGGCCCACCATGCTCTCTCCCAGTCTCCCCTTCCATTCTCCTGACCATTCTACTTTTCCTAAACTTGTAAAATTTAGATCTCAGGTCACTTTGTGGGCTGTGACAACCAGTTCAGACTAGTTCAGAGTTCTGGTTCCTGCCCCCCACCCCACCCCATGGGTGCCAGAAGATGGGCGTGGCAGTCGCTTTCTGAGCGGCCGAGTCCTCGAGAGAGCCCCATAGCCCAAGTCCACTCTGTTCATAGGATCTTCTGGGCACAGCTCTGTCAAAATGCCTTCTTGTCTTTACCCCTTAGCCAGAACCACCACTGTCCCTAAATCCCATGGGAGCTGACAGCCTCGTCTTTCTCCACCAGATCAGCTGGTGGGTTTAAACCAGGAACCTTGCAGCTAGCAGCCGATATGGAATGCACTGCACCACCAGGGCTAGGCTGTGCAAGTATTAGCACATGTGATAATTACTTCTTTAGCGAAAAACAACTCATTTCCCATATTTCAAAAGCATGTTTTTTCGTGGTAAAAAAAGTTTGAAGTTAGACAACGGCAAGGAAAAGTTAACTTTCTGTATCATCTCATTGCCTGAAGCTACAAGGGGGTCCCTCCCCCTATCAGAAAACAGCAACAACAACAACGGAAGAAAGCTCCGCTGGTTGGAGCTTTCAGTACGCATTTTTTTCTCTCTAGGCGAGCATCGAGCAACTCCCTCTGAATTAGTGCACTCAGTAGCATCGCCTGGGAAGGTTCTCTCTTGTCACAGCGGTTTTGTTTTCATAAAAGCAGTTTTGCTCGAACCTTATTTTTTGTGATGGCCAATTTAAGAGAACAGCATGAGGCTGTGAAATTTTGTTTCCTGCTTGGGGGGGGGGGGGGGTGCTCAGAAACTTGTGAAGTTGAACACAGCTTACAAAGGCAGCCCTATGGGAAAAACTCAAGTGTACAAGTGGTTTTCTCATTTCAAAAAAGGTGAAATGTCGATTGATGACAACCCTTGTCCTGGGCTCCATCAACTTCCTGAATGGACGAAAATGTTGACTCTTAGTGCATTTGGAGTTCTTCCACCAGGTCAGACTGTTAATCAGACTTTCTACTTAGAGGTTCTGAAAAAATTGTATACCGGTTTTGGGCAAAAACAGCATGCCTCTCTTGCCCCACACACTTTACTCACCTGACCTCCTTCCATGCGACCTCTTTTTGTTTCTTTGAATGAAGAGAAATATGAAAGGACAGCAATTTGACAACATAGAAGAGGTGAAGAAAACGAGGGAGATGCTGTCAGCCTTCCAAACAGATGAGTTTGAAAAATGCTTCCAAGAATGAAATCGCAGGTTTGACAAATGTATTAAGTGTAATAGAGAGTACTTTGAAGGTGATAAAGTTGTTTCATAAAAAAATTTAAATACACAGATTTGGGGGCAGGGGATTCTGGTTTGGGTGCCCCCTCGTCAATTAACCCGAGGTCTTTGGATGAGGCACACAGACTTATTAGTTTGCAGGTACACAGTCCCTGAGCGCATGCTCCCCAGTGTGGTCTGCTGTGGGTGTCGGTCACCAGTGCTCTTTCTGGTGCACAGCCAGGCACGGTGGTGAGCGAGACAGAAGCGGGGCTGCAGACATCAGCACGATCGTTTTCAGAGGCAGAGTGCGGTTTGCCGACTCAGCAGGAGGATGAGAATGGGAAAGCTCAAAGGACAGGACACGCGCTCAGATAGCTCAGTTTATGTCAGAGTGAAGCAACCGCACTGGCCTTTGCAAAGGTTCCCTTCAGTGTAGACAACAGCTGTGCACTTTAATATTTGCTGAATTTGCTTTTGTACTTGACATAGGCTAGGTTATTTCTCGTGGGTTTTGGTTTGTCTGGCAAAGTACATACATCTGGAAATACAGCTATCTGAAGTGCCCTGAGCACGTTCAAAAGTCTTTCAGAAGATGCTTACAGTGTAAGACAGGCAGTTTGACAGAAATTTCTTATCAAAATGTTGTAACTGACTTTATAGTCACTTTGTCTTTCAAAGGGCGATCTTACGAGTGCCAGCCCCATCCCCACCCTCCTCCGTGGCACCTCTTGCCTGGATGCTGCTCAGCCCAGGGCCTTGTGTCTGCAGCGCTGGGCCCAGGACAGGGGTGGGAGAGGTCGGTTCTCCTGGTAGGCATGTTCTGGTTCAGATGTGGAGTATTGTTTTAAAAGTGTCCCTGGGAGCAGTTGTGCGCGCCTATGTCGCTTTTGCACTTTGCCCATCCTGCTGCCGTGTGGGGGTGGCGGAGCTGCCCATACTTGCTGGAATGACAGTAGGGTACTGCCGGCAGCTGCACGGAGCCAGGAGATGTTGTGTTTTGCCAGTGTCTCCAGCGCCATTTGGAATTCCTCCTTCCACAGCACAGGTTGATTCCTTTGATGAAAGTACTCATGAGCGTGACTTGTGCTTCCACTTGCCCAGGATGGGCTCTAAGCTAAGCCTCCCTGGAGGAGACGTCTGTGAATGGTTTCAAGTAGAGGTGCTCCCTAGCGGGTGCTGGGGCAAGAATAACTGTAGGGCATCTCAGCGCCAAGAAAAAGCCGCTGCAGGCCGTGGAGGGCGGCTCCCTCTTTGAGTGCCACAGCTGCCAGGGGCTAGCATGGGACGGGGAGGGGTGACTCCTTGGAGCCCAGCCCTCCAGGCAGCACTGTGTGGTCAGCCATACTCCTCAGTGCAGCGCAGTCTCGGCCACCTCACCATCTGAAAGGATACGGGGCTTCGCCACTTCTTTGAAACAGCTCCCTTGGCAGTAATGCCACAGTTCCTATTTTGGCTAAAAACAGATTGCCTATCTATGACCTTATCTGCTTCTGTAATTCTCAGTATAGCAGATTTAGGGTTTTGTTTTTTTCAGAGTCGTGTTACGGTATACAGTAACCCTGGAAATGTCGTGTTGGTTACAGGTGGGCACTAACCTCAAGGTCAGCAGTTTGAATCCACCAGCCGTTCCTCGGGAGACAGTCTCAGAAACCCACAGAGGCAGGTCTCTCTTGTCCCGCAGGGGTCACTGTGTGTCAGAATCGAGTCGATGGCTGTGTGTTGAGTGCTGCTGGATGAAGGGCCTTTCTCGTAGAGCACTGCTGGCAGTCACTGGTGTGTAGATGCTGGCAGTGACCTTGCCAGCCTTGTGAAGTGGGGATGGATGCTTTAGGACAGCGGTTCTCATCCTGGGGGTCATGACTCCTTTGGGGGTCGAACAACCTTTTCACAGCGTCTGCCTGATTCCTAACAGCAGCAAAATGACAGTGATGAAATACCACGGAAATAATGTTATGGTTGGGGGCTAGCACAACATGAGAAGCTGTATGAAAGGGTCGTAGCACTGGGAAGGTGGAGAACCCCTGCTCCAGAGAGCACAAAGAAAATGGCCGTGAACATTTTCAAATTGCCAGCATTTGCCCTGTGACCCTGAGCACACTCACAGCACTTCCTGCATGGGTGCTCCTGCCTTGAATGCTGGAAGGGAGGCGAGGTCCCCTAAGCAGCTTCTCCTCCACAGACGGCGAGCTGATGCCCATCAGCCCTGGGGCAAGTCAAAGGGCAGTTGAAGGTGTTCTGGGGCATTCCTTGGCCCAGGGATCCCCCTCTGGTTCACCTGCAGGGGCTGGGGGCAGTTTCTCAGGACTCCTCAGAGTTCCTTTCTGCATCTGGAAGGAGCCCTGGCTACACAGGGCTCCGGCTCCGGCAGGTGACCCCTTGGGAGAAAGGTCTGGCCGTCCGCTTTCCCAGCCTCTGGGGCTCTGTGTCAGGGGGGTTTGGCGGCATTGGGTGGGGTGGCGGTTGGGCTGCCCCGTTGGCTCTGGCTCTTTCTCTCTTTGCTTATGCCCTACTCCAGGGCTGCTCCACCTGGTGGCACATCCACAGGGATGGGGTGGGCTTTCTTACATCCATGGTTTATAGTCAGTGGATAGCCCTTTGTTTGTGATAAACTGAACATGTTTTCTCCAATTTGTCTATCCTGACTTTTGGGGTCTTTGATGGGACAGTTTTAGTGCTAGTGACATGAACAGGGGTCCTTTCTCCTTTCTGCATCACCAGAGGACCTCCCTACCTCAGAATTGTAACCTGGACCCACATTGCCCGCCCTTTGCCCCATGCCAGCCCCTGCTGGGCTTACGCTGGGCTGTGAGCTGCAGGGCACCTGCACAGGAGAGGTGGTTGTGACCGTAGTGACACAGGTCAGCTTGGCGCTGCTGTGGAACGCTTCCCCCAGCCCACACTGGACCCCAGAGCTCTTCCACACACGTCAGCCCTGGGCACCATGCCTTGTTCAGAGTGTCCCCTCTGAGCCAGGGAGTAAGGGGCACAAGGACACAGTGCTAACACCCGTCAAGGTTCCAAACGGGCTCTTTCCCCCTGAGCACTGCAGGACTCTGCCCCTTAGCATGCCCTTTGCTCCTCCATCTCAGACTCTACCTGGCTGAGGATTGAGTCTGGGTTGTGCACCTCTGGAGCCGTGGGCTGAGCATGGTGCTATCTGGAAGGTGGGTGGTTCTGTCCCACCAGCCGCTCCTGGGCAGAAAACTGGCTATCTGCTTCCTTCGGGATGCACAGCCCCTGAAACTCCACCGCCGTCCCACTGCGTCCTACAGGGTCAGGGCGAGTCGGAATCTGCTGATAGCTGCCTGTCTCTGAGCTGTCGACCAATTCACGTACAGTCTGAAGGCCAGTGTGACCCCTTAATATTTAAAGATAATTTCCGAAACTAAGCAGAGTCCTCTAAAAGGGTGCCCTGTCCTGGGCTGTGCTGAGTGCGGTGGTGTTTTTCCTGGCAGCTTGCGCGTAAACTTGGACATGGGCAAAGCAGCCTACGGCTGGATGATCATGAGAGACAAGCACATCCCCGGGACGGTCGTCCGCACCAGCACCATCCCTGAGGAGCTGGGCCGCCTGGTGTACCTGCTGACAGACAAAACAGGTATGCACGGGGGCTCGTGAGCATGCCGCCACATGTTACACATGTTACATGTCTATGTTACACTCAGAGCAGCACGCTGCCAGAAACTGACGCACCAGCCGAGGTGTGTTCGTGTGAAATCACAGCTGCATGTGAACGTGCACATGGACGCTTGCAGTGCAGGCTTGTACACGCAGAGCAGTGCACGGCTAGAAGTCAGCATGCCAGCAGCCACGTGTGTGGGTGTGTGCCTTGTGCTGCACGCATAGCCACATCCTTGCATGTTCTCTGCAGGACCCAGAGAAGAAGGCCTAGATGAACAGGCAGGTCTATGGTGCTGGCGAACAGACTTCTTGATGGAGTCAGAACAACACAGGTGTCTGTTGTATGTGCCATTGCAGGACGGGTCGGGCACAGCTCCTGATTCAGGTGGTCTTGGCATCACCCTCGCATGGAACACGCTTCAGCCCTCAGACAGACCTGCTCCTGCGCCAACTCCTACAAGGGAGGTGTGTGCTTTTGCACCAGGACCTGGTAGAGGAGCAGCCCCAGCATTGTGTGCCCAGCAATCTGCACATCTCTCTCTCTCTCTCTCACACGCACGCACGCACGCACGCACACACCCACACACACACACACTGCAGCTGAGGGCTGAGCCACCTCACAGCAGAGCATACACACTTCCACGGCATGGAGCCTCAAGAGGGAACGCTGATGAGAGGAAAAGTTTAACCAGATTCAACTTACAGAAAAATGAAAAAGAGACAATTACACAGCTTAATGTTTAAGTTTGAGTGGTGAGTAAATTGTGATAAAAGAAAGGACAGGCGATGTTTAGATTAATGTAACTAATGTAAAAGTGCCGTGTCCTCTGTTATGTCAGCAAAGTCAACCACCCTAAAAGATGTTATGAAGAGCCACTGCACAGTAGTTCAAGATTCAGTTCTAAATGGTTGTGTACTTTGGTAAAATAGCCTAAAAATATAATAAGGAGAATAGGTATAGACAGGAACAATGAACATTTCATCGTCTCTCTAAATTGCCTATAAGCCAAGCAGGAAATTTTGATCTCATGACAATTAAGACATTTTTAACAATTCCAAAATTGTTATTATTTCGACTTCGTTCCTCAGAAGTGGGGAGCCAAGTTCGTCTTTGTAGTTTGTTCTTAGTCTGTACGCTCCGCTGAAACATGTTCACTTTGGATGACCCTGCTGGCATTTGAAATACCAGTGACATCAATTCCGGTGTCAAAGCCATACACAAGCCTCCACAGTGTGACCAAGTGGTGGATTCCAACATTAGAGAACGCATATCCGTGGTAAACTGGGGGGGGG